TGGACATCACACAACCCAGCGGATGTGACTCAGTGCACACCTGCACGATCACCGTGCTTGCACTCACCAAGAGACAACCGATATTGGGTTACGAGGCTAAGCCCATACCCTACAAAGTTGGGGATGCCTGGCTCTCATATAAAGACACTAAAGTATATGTGGGGGGACTTATTATAGACCAGGGACAATTTCATATTTGGGATGAGGAAGCATTAATCACACACCAAGACATACAACATTCTTTGGACATGACGTCAGCCTATAAAACTAATAAACCACGGGGAGTCCAAAATCTAGGACATTTCCAATGGCTCTGTTGTAATACTCAGCTTATGTACTATGATCATACCACGAGAAACAACATACTACTAGCTTGCACAGATAGTTGCCTATAGTTAAATAATGTCATTAACATTACGAAGGGCAGTATTTCTATTCTCACAGGGACACCAAATGTCTTCATGAGACACATATTAAAAACATCACAATCCCACATGCCCTAGAAGCTGATCAGGAGTTAGCCCGAAATCATTTACAAAACGAAACTGATCATTTAGTTAAACATGTGGCCAAAGATCTCAAAAAGGCTAAAATCCTTAATCATATTTTGGGTACTAAATACTTTCTAGATGTCACTCCACAACTCTCTGACTGCGACTGGGCAACTGCCTGGAAAAGATTGTTCTCCCCACACAGATATACCTGTGCGGGTCCTGCTGGCAGCTTGCTCAGATCTCTGTTCATTCGAAGTAAAACTAGTTTTTGGAAATTTTTCTCTAACCTTGGTCATTGGATGTTCACCTCTCTACTTCACATACTTGTTACTATATGTTTTATCAGTCTACTCATATTCTTGTGTAAACAATTATCATTAAGATGTTTGGGTTCCCCGAAGCGTTCTTGAGCCGTTGTGCTCCCTGGAACCAGGGGGTGGAGATGATGCGAGCACCACAGAACTTCCTTGCAAGACGTTGAGCCACCCCAAAGAAACAAGCCCAAGAAAGTCCGTTTTAGAGAAGATATAAAGTGTAACATTGGGGCCCAAATCAACAGCTGCGCCAAGGAGCCACCAAAAATGTGGGGACCCCTGATAAGCCTGGGCTGAGACCTGACCGACGCCCCAAAGCCAGCCAAGTCACCTAAAGCCTGGAGAGACCCGAGAAGACTTGACTGGGACAGTGAGAACGTCAAAGAGCCAGCCAAGCTGTCCATTTAAATCCAGGTAGAGACACTGACCTTCAGAGAGCTAGGAACCAAGGAGACATCACCTCCTGCTCTCTCCAACTCTACCCGGGGTGAGCACACCGATGGGCAATGCTTATTGGGACTATGGTGCTAGTATGAAATGCGTGAAGAGTGCTGTTGTTGTGCCCTTATGCTCATGGTTGCCCCTAGTAGTTTGAGTGATAGTTTAGATGGTTTGATGTGTGTTTGCCGTGAATAAACCGAGCGTTCGAAAATGTCTAAGAGCGTCAAGTAATTATTGACCGCGCCACTCTTGACGCCGTCCCACGGCTGCTCTGGTCTGAGCCCATGGCTGCAGCCGCTGTGTCTGCCCATCTCCTCGTGCAAAGGGAGATGCCTCTTTCTCGCCGGCCCCCCACTTCACCGAGCGCGAGGTCTTTTTGCAGGGATTGGGCTCTCCTGACAACATGTCCGAAGTGTGTAAGACACTTGCAGGGAACATTCCGGCCACACTTCCTTCAAGCAGGACAGGGCTATTAGGGTCAGCATCTGCTTTTCACACACACAGACACACACACACAGCCGCTGTATCATTCCAGGGACTCCTGGGGTTGGGGGGTCGTCTGCTTTGGGCAACACTGAAATGGAGTAACCCGAGAACATAGGAACATACTAGAAGTGTTCACTGCTGCCCTGTTCATAGTGGTTAAAAATGCGAATA